GACGTCATCAGTACGCAGCGGCAGCCGCGCGAAACTCGGAACAACAACAAAACACAGCGTGGAGGAGACGACTGCGAGCAAGACATTTACAAACCAACTTATCGATCCAGCGTGTGGAAATATTTTGGCTTTTGCAAACACGGAGGTGTTCTAAATAAGTCGGTCGCTGTTTGTAGAATATGTAGAAGACAAATAAAAGACACGGAAACACAACGAATCTTTCCGGCCATCTACTAAGGCGCCGTGGGATTAAACAACGCCGACAGTCAGGCACCTCTAGCAGCGTTACCGCTGCAGCAGCAGGTAACTCCAGCTCTGCAGACTCCTCAGGCCTCGCCAGCACGAAACTCAGCATCACAGTAACAATTGCCAAGTTTATCTGTAAAGACATGCGACCCTACAATGTGGTTGAAAATCCGGGGTTCTGTAAATTGATCCAAACATTGTGTAATTATTGTGTAATGTTTACATTGAAAATGTATGCACTTGATTCAAATAAAAGGTTAATACATTTGCCATTAATTGTTGTTTGCTTGTTTATAATATCCATAATTAATTTAAACCGGATTTCCTTAAAAGAAACAACAGGGATCTCGGAAACTTTGCCTGCACTGTCCAGTAAAGTTAGTGAATCGATTTCAAGTCACTGAATCGAATCGTTCTAATTTAACCCAGATCGGTTGACAAGCCTCGGAGACGTTGGCCCACTACCCGCAACCTGCTAGTCAACTTGAAGTTGAACAAAAGAACTTCTGCAACATGCAATATCTAGGCCACTGCCAGTTGGATAGCACATAAACAAGCGTAACATGTTAACCCCCACCTTTATGTTCCATGGGAGTTAAAAGAGAGGTTATTGAGCACCAGGACCCCTCGGTTCTACAGGGAGCCTAGCCAAGTGACTCCACCTTCTACAGGAAACCCTATAGAAAGAGAGGTTTCCTAAAGCTTCAGGATGTAGCAAAGGTGCCACCACCAACAAAAGGTGTCTAATTAGGGCTGCAGGTTAGCCTAGGGCTGATCAAGCAGGTGGCATTCCACTTCCACCATGAAGAAAGAAGGAGCTCCGTATGTGTGTGTGTGTGTGTGTGTGTGTGTGTGTGTGTGTGTGTGTGTGTGTGTGTATAGGGGGGGGAGGGGATTAGGACAAAACTTTATAAAGACCAAAGCTTACTAGAAAGCAGGTCCAGCTGAGGGGTCATAGGTAGGCTAATTGCCCACAGCTAAGAGGCTTTATACAGGTTAGAGGGGTGACATTCTTGTGGGAGTAACAGATGAAGCCCAGATCCAACAATCCAGATCCGACCTCGGACCTCAAGACCCTAACAAAGATGGCCCAGATATTTTAAAGTGCTTTCGGTTGACCGCAAGCCTGTGCTGTAGTTACACAACACACCATTTCTACCAGTTGTAACATTTTGACGTTCTATCCAGAATCATTTCCTTCTGAAAATCCCTTTTTATTGAGGGTTCTTTGTAAGCTTCAGTTAGCGTTACAACAAGAGGATGTGTGGTGGTGAGCTTATTCAATATAAAGCTTCACAAATACTATACCAAGTAGAATATGAGATGAGGGAGATTGCAAAGGAAGTGTACGTCTGACAAGAAAATGAGCAAAACATTATTACTGAACTGGTTGTTACCGAGGTCAGTAATCAGGAAGACGCCGGCAGAGACCACGCAGAATCAGTGTTTCTCACACATAGACTAATTTGTGGCGGTGTGCCACAGATTCAACACCGACAGAAGTTGCAGACTTTGCGCATGTAGGCTGTAAAAACAAGTAGTATAGGGTGTGAAATGTGTATTACATGTGGGAAATACTGAGAATCAAGTGCCGGTGACAAAGCTAACGTAGCTAGCTCATGGAAGATTTTACACAAGACAAGATAAGAACACCTGAATATTTCTCAGGATTTATCCTGCTTTTGTACATTGTCCTCCACAACTTTGTGCACCTCGACCGGCAAACAGGCGTTTGCGAAGATCTCCCTCTGTGAATCCAACCCGCTTCGACGACCTGCCAATGACGGCTTGCATAAGCGGTCATATTTACGCATTTCTTCCGACAAGAGTTCTTAAATCTGATCCGTTCTCTCGTAAACATTCTTTGTTTTAATAATGCCGGTATCGGGCTATGAAAGCGGAAATGTGAGACTCCGTAAAGGATGTAGTTAGCGGACCAATCGCAGCCTGGTGCGCTGCGGGAGGCTTGCCTAGGAAGGAAGCCTAGAAAAATGGCTCGACACACGCAAGGACGCACGGAGGTGTGAAAAGGCACGCAAGGGACATGCAAGGGACACGCAAGGGGGTCTTGTGGCTGCGTCGCTCTGAAAACGCAGAAGCATAAACTAGGCTTTAGACTAGGGGGACCAGGTCATTCTACCGCAGTGCCGGTAGATCACCTGAAAAAAAAACGCCAGGTCACCACGCATGCGCGATCGCTTCTGACAGACGAGAGGCTCGTTGTGTTTTTTTTATATTAATTCGTTTTGCGCTCCCGGTATGCAGCGCTGTTGTTCCGTTTGGTTACCGCTTATTATTATTATTCGGACGAACTGCCCGAGGGGGAGAGTAGATCGCCATGAGTTGGAGTGTTTGTGTGTGTCCGTGACAACGTTGTTCCAACCCTTAGGGAGCAAACACTAGTTGTAGGTCCTAAACTCAACGGCATGACCTCTGGAACACCTTCCATCTTCTCCGTACGTGTGTCTATGTTGCCGCCCCAGCTGTGCACACCTGGCCAATTCCTTTTGACCTTCTTTTGGTATCCAAATGCATTAACAAAGTTATAAAGCATATAAAAAAAGGTCAAATGAAGCATGCCAGGTAAGGAAGCAGCACTCGCGGTTTTAGGGGCACCGCGTAAAATGTTTGTGCTGAGTCCCTGCACTGAGGCCTGAGAAGCAGACGAACAGGAGGAACAGGGCTCAGGTGTATTCGGGGCCCTCTGAGGAATTGGGCACCCTGGCTTCTGTTGCTCCACCCGAAGAGAGCCATCGGGTCGGGGGGGGGGGCATGGAGCGGTTCTCAGAGCTCCACGGGCTCCCCCCTCAGAGTAAGTCAATTTTGTGTTTAATAGCTGACTCAGCCTACATTTTTGGGGGGGGGGGGGGGGGCTGCAAGCCCCCAATGGTTATTTCATGTATTAGTCATTACTCAATCAGATCATTTTCACAGGAGACATGTCAGTGATTCGCCATTGGCCAAATAGGAGGAGCTTTGCTAATACAAATGATGGCTCTGCTGTTCTATTGAAAGCAGGTGTAGAGAAATCGCCTGTTCTTTTATCTAAAAAACCCGGCATCTACACTACCCACTGTCACGGTGTGGTTCACTTCCTGTTGTATTCACTAGTTTTCTGCCACTCGTGTCCCCGGGTAACTTCACTTCCTGCCTTGTCCCGTCATCCCCTGTGATCGTCTAATAGTTTCCCCCTATGTCCAATCACCTGCACCTCCCTTGTGTATTTAAGCAGTGTGTCTCTTGTGTCGCTTGTCGCGTCATTGTCTTTCGCCACGCATGTCCTTGTCTCTCGTCGTTCACAGTTCCTGTCTCCCGTTTTGCCCCTTGGCCTTTGCTTTAACCTTTTTGACAATTAAAGTCCCTTTTGTTTCTGAACTCTGCATCTGAGTCCTACCTCCCCCGCAACCCCTGACACCCACAATGCTGCTTTACAGCCAAAAGCTTAGTGAGAGATTCTGGTTGTGTTTAATGCTAGTAGCAGCTTCTTAGGAGATTTTTATTTTCAAACTTGTTTAAGGTCACCTCTAAGAAGATGCAATAGTGCCTCCCAACGCCTGTATAACAGACTTAAGTGGGACAATGAGATGGCACACTCGCATTTTATCATTGCACACCTGGGCTTTTAAATAGTGACACATGAAATTGCCTTTTATGGAAAAGATCTTTGGAAAATGTATTCTTCCGATATTTCAAATGATCTAATAATGTAATTTGAACACAAATATATGTAGCTTGGATTTAAAAAGTGAAAGGGATTGGATCCTTTTGCCCGAGAAAACATTTAATGATGTTTTTTTTCCGATAGGCAGGCAGGCAGCAAATGAATCAGCTTGTTTCCCCCATGCTGCCTTGAGGCTAAACAGTCTGACAGGCCAGAAAATAAGGATGACTCATCCTGACTCACCACACTAGTCCACCCCCCCCTCTCAAATGTTCGACCGCGCACACGCACATATGCACAAGCACCTTGCCCCTCTTGTGTGACAAACAACCCTGCAGCCACTAACCTGTGACTCATCCTGGTTGTTGCCCTTCTAAATCTGTTGAGTTGCACGAACACAAGTATTTGCGCACACGTTGCATTCCAATCTTTTGTGAAGATGAGACTGCAGCGGTGAGCCAGATGTTCAGGAGCGGATATGTGAACGGCCTAAAAAAGATAAAAAGGCTGCTTTGATCCGCCAAAGTTATAGTAGGTGCGCTCATGCGCCACGCGCACACACACACACACGCACGCACGCACGTTCTCAAGCAGAAGCTAACAATGCAGAGGGACCCTGGGGAGCACTCTGCAAAAAGCCACTCAAACTCTGCAAACTCATCCAGTCTCACATCACTTAACCCTCGCACACGCTGATCCTGTTACACAGACACACACTCGCGCTGCGGCGTCAATGTGCACAAGGATTGGCGGACCCTGGGGAAAGCATCTCCATCTTGTTCGTGAGAGCGCTGGAACAAAAGGAGGACTGTGTTTCCCACAGAATTAGGTTCTCTTAGCGCTGGAAGCTAAAAGGGTAGATGTAAAAAGAACTGGACGTTTTGAAGCGGATGGTTGGAGGTTCAACTCCTAACAAGCCACCAATTAGCACAAACCGGGAAGTGGACACTTTGAGTTCGTTTTATGGTGGCTTAACAACAGTAGGGGACTGTAAAAAACTTCTGCTTCACCCTGCGCCGCCGACCTGAAGCTCATGTAAGAGGCTGCTGTGTGTGTGAGTGTCTGAGTATTTCAGCGTGAGTGTGCGTGGTACCTGGTCCATGGTGGCTCTCGTCCAACACCAGACCGCTCATGCATTTGAGCTCCCAGTCCTGGACCTCGGTATTCCACAGGGCGGGGATGAAGACGGCGTACTTGGATCTGCGGGAGGAGGGAAATGAGACCGAATCACTTCACGTCCTCTCACCCCTGCTTCTGTATTAATCAAAGTGTGGACATTCAGGTGCATAGAACGCTGCATTCATGTGAGAGGGGCAAGAAAGGGAAAGAGATAGAGGCAGACAGAGGGTGTGAGGGGGGTGATCCAGATAGATCACCTTGTTCATCGCTCCATACGGGGATATGATCACAAATGGCTATAGAAGGATCGACGGCAGTGGAAAAAAATCCAAATAAAAAATGAGCAAGGGAGCGAAGGTAAGCGTGTGTGCGAGTTTCCTGTCAGCTCATTTAAATAAAAGATCTCAGCGAGGACTTTTAAAGAAGATGGTGGTTGTTAAAAGAAGACGCCTTTATCATGGCATGGTACAGATTTTCAGAAGTTGTGATGTTTGTTGCATTGACTTACACTGATGATGGCTCACACATGATCAACGACGTCTTTACAACTAAAAGATGCTACATTTGAAAAGTCTGATCCTAGTGCCGCGACACACCTCTCACAGTTCTTAACAGGAAGACGAGTCGATGGCCATCAATGTACACAACGTGCATTCTCTGCACCAGGAGTAAAAAGTTTACTGGGGTAAAATATTGTATTGCATTAATCTCTGCCACAATAATCACATAGATTAAACCGTTAACTTTGACAGCACACAAGTTGATGTAAACGTGTGTGTCTTTACAAGTACATTACACGGTTCTGTCCATCTCAAACAGATTTCCTTCATTGGATCGCAGAGGGCGAAACACAGACTAAATCTGAAATGCGTATCGTGTCAAGAGAAGAGAGACCACAGGCGAGAACCCCGCTGAGTGTTCCTCATCCTACATGCATTTGAGAATGTTTGAAAGAGAAGGAAAAAAAATAGGCTGAAGCAGAGCCATGTCAGTGTGACATAAACAAACAATGTGTGGCCCCCTCTAGCTGAATGAGCGTGTCAGTGTGTCAATGAGGACAAGTGAAAGGAGCCATGTAGCAGGAGGGAGAGGGGGCCCAGAGGAGTAAATGAGAGAATAGGGAGGCAAGGGTGGCATGAGAATTCACTGCTGAGAGAGGGGAGGGGTGGGGGGGGAGTAAACAATGGAGAAAGGGGTTGGACTGGTGGAGGGTAGATAGAAGACACTATGTGTATAGGAAGTGCGTAGGTCGAGGGGGTTGTCGGAGGTTCTGTTGAGAACTCGTCATTAACAAGTAGCAGTGTTCTAATTGACGACATTTTCCACAGAAGTCAAGCAATACTGGTTAGGAATAGACGTTAGGAGTTTGTTTTTTGGACTATTCGAATCCAGCCTTCTATACAATCTGAGTTTTTGCAACCAATTCGCCCTCCTGGATATAAGAAAGAATGCAGGTTTAAGGCCCTTAATCATTGGGGTTAGGGTAAGGGTCAACTAACCCTATCCCCGGGAGTTTGTCGCATGGTGTAAAGCAAAATGTTAGAGCGACCCACATTGGCATCTTTACACACACATCCAACCCACCCACCCAACCACGCACGCACGCACGCACGCACGTGATTAGCCCCATTAAAACAGAATAGTCTATAAAGGATGGCTGACAACTTTAATTTTAGAGGTTGAAGATTTCACCCTTCCTTACTTACTTACTTCTATGTCTCTCCCCCTCCCTCTTTGTAAATCCTCTTCTCCCTCTCTCTTACATAACATTCCTCCCCCTTCCTCCTCCCTCCTTTAACAGTATCTTCCCAGTATAAGGGGATCCTGCCTCTGGGGGACGGTCGGACCACTTAGTGTTAAGTTTCTGACCGGGCTCTGGTACGGGTGCCAAGCGGGCAACAAGGACTCCTCAATGCGATTGCAGGCTGCCCGCTCAACGCCAAACTCACGTAATGGGACTGTGAGTGCTGCCCTTGGTGCGTGCACACACAAACAGAGGTAGGGGGTCTCCTGCACAGATCGCTTTGTTTCCTTGAAGCGCATAGAGCATTGATCGTCGTGGTGACCGGTCCGGGCTATTATTGGTTACAGAGCAAGCTATTAAATAGAAAAATAAAGCATGGAAGGAAAACCTAAGTGGTTGGTTTAACGGTTGTTTAGCCATTCCACGCGATTATCCCCCAGATTTGCCCTTTATAATCCACTTTGCAAGTCGTTGGTGAGTACCCAGCACGTACCTACACCCCCACCCCCCCTACCCGGCTCATAATAAAGTGCTTTATCACTGCCCGTGAAACTTCTACATTCATGGAAACAACTTGGCTGCACAGCCTCAACTTCTGCTGTGCACACAGCCCTGTCCTAAAGTACACAGAGGTCCAAACGGTTGAAACCTTTTCTAAAATGGAGTTCAAGGGAGCTTATCTATAAAGACAAACATTATAAACTGGATAACTGTGCACCAGTCTCTCTCTCATTCTCTCACACACACACACACACACACACACACACACACACACACACACACACACACACACACACACACACAAACCTAGTGACCCTGCTGAGTTGCCGTAGCTACAGCCCCATGTCAACAAAACACGTTGCCGACGGGTTTTCCGTATTCAGCGCTCCGTATTCAGCGCCGTGAGGACAGAGGCGTCCTGCTGAAAGCAACGTGCGCCACCATTGAGCAAACTAATTTAGCATAAAGGGTGCTTAATGCAAAACATGCAACAAAGACAGAAACAGCAAAAAACTAAAAACAAATGCACTACTTTCCCGGAATGGCCTGATGGGCTGATTTATATTCATGAGCTGCCTGGGGCTTTTTATTTAGGGCCCAGTTAAAGAACTAAGCTATGAGAACTGTGCTGCACATTCATGAGTTTGGTCTGGGACAACATGGCCTGGCTTCAATGAATAGGGAAGTCATTCAAATCCACAGTAATTTGAAGCTGAAGAAAAAATAAATGTCAGAAATCGTACCCCCTAACGTGTTAATGGCATCTACAGTGGTTATTGCATGAAAAATAAATAAAGGATAAGGAAATAAATGTTTTTTTCCCTTCAAATACTTTGTGGTTCCCAGGACTGGGTGGAGAGATTATATATCTGCACTAGCCTGGGAACGCTTTGGGATCCCACAGTCAGAGCTGGTAGATATGGCCCGGTAAAGGGAAGTTCGGGGTCCCCTGCTGAAAGCTGTTTAAACACATCATGATAGAGTTGTAATTTACTTTTGCCTTATACTCATTATGACAATTTGGAGCTTGAACATGCAATAACATAACTAAATTGAACCTCCGTATACAAGCCAGCACTGTGTCACAGACAGACCTCAGGCTGTTCACTGTGGTCATTCTTTCATAGGAGTGCACTACAATGGAACAGGTCTATATGACAGATTTAGTAAGTTGTTCCAAATTTTGCTCTTCCTGCTCCATTATTTAGAAAAGCAGGATCACGTTCAATCATTTTTGGTAGCAATGTAGCATCTTGTGGCCTTGGCAACTAGAAGCAATAACAGGGATATATACAGTGTCAGTCAGAGGTTTGGACACACTTTCTCATTCAATGAAAAAATGCATCCAAACTTTTGACTGGTACTGTATGTATATATTTTTTAATATAGACGACATTTATTTTTCACTCTCCCTGTGTACATACATACAGCCTCACTTTACTTACACATCGAAAGGGACTCTCAACAGGAGGGGTAACACTGCTCCCTCGTCGGTCAGGTCCATCAGTCGAGACTCCAGGAGCTCGACAAGGGTCAGGGCTGTACGGAATACAGCAGACAGGCCTAGGGAAAAGGGACGCAGGGTTCACAAAAAGCCCAGACTGCTGTACACAAACAACACTTTATTTGATAACAAGTAGATATAAAAGATGTAGATAGAGAGGATGTGAGGTGTCCATCTCATGAAACTAGTTGATTGGGCCGGTTAGTCCTTTCCATGGCGCTGGACCAAACTGAATTATAAACATTTGATAATAAGGTTACAGCAATAAGATTCTCCTCAGTGTTTTTCCCCAGCATTATACCTCACCCCATGAAAAAAAAAAAAAAAAAACACTCTTCGTGTGTATATATATATATATATATATATTTATTTATTTATTTAATAGTCGGGCAAACCGTTCGCCCGACTATTAACCCCCCCTCGGGAAACACTGCACCGATTAGCTTGGTTATTGAATACTAAGTTTTAAAACTATGTAACTGCCCCCTGCCCACTTAACAAATGTGAGCAAATGATAAAGAATAGAATTAGCTTGTGTGTGTGTGTGTGTGTGTGTGTGTATATGCATACCATGCAGAATGATCAGATCCCAGACAGCCAGAACAGAGTCCCAGCAGGGCAGGGAAGTGAAGAGAGTGAGGAACCAAGGCATCACAAAATGGACTGACGAGACCCCCACCGATTCCTGCAGGGAGGGTTGAGGGAGATGGAGAAGTTGGGGGGGATATGACATTAACAAAATATGTAGCAAAGACTTGTTTCTCTGCCAATTTCCATCAACTGTTCTTCTAACTGAAACATTCATCCGACTGAGTTAGTGTTGAAACTTTTAAAAGGTTCTAAATTCTAAATTCACAACATTAATTTGGCCCGAGCAGAAATTGAAGTTCCCTATGGTAAGGACTTTCTTAAATGGTGTCACAGCCCGATCATGGTGTTAAAATGTTAAATGAGTGGAATAGTGATAGCACTCTCACAAACAAAAGATTATGGCGTTAGGGGTCCTTTGTGTCTTTGTAGGTGGGTACAAGCAAAATCCAGAAATCTGTTTACAGCTTGCGTGCCTTAACTCTACTGAACAGCTCCATTACAATGAAAACGCTGACCACTAATCTGCAATGGGCTTTTTCTATGAGGGCAGACAACTATTGTGCCTACAATAAGCCCCTGTGGTGTAAGCTTTAAGTATGCGTATATGTGTTGGCTCCTCAAGGGAAGCTCTCTCCCGAGACCTGCTGAGTCAACTTGAAGTAGAACAGCTCCTTTAAAGACACAAATGGTAGCAGTGATCGATTGGAGTGTGCAAACACACTTAGATGTACGATTTTCAACAGTCCAGCTGCAACATGGCTGATAGGAAAGCTCACTATCTCCACAACTTAACAGCACTAAGGGCATAAACCCTAGGGGTGTAACGATTCATTCACTGAATCAATTAATCGATTTATATTCCTGCGATCCAACTGAATCGATCTGTGCTCCGCAAATCGGCATTCCGGACGACATATATCGATTACAAATCAATTGAAATGGTACATAATCGATTGTATCGATACTTGGAAACTGCACAATGGATTTAAGTACAAAAACTATATGGATGCGTGTTTGTTTTTTAGCACTTTAGACACGTTAAACGTTACTCGATTCAGTCTGCCTGTCTGTGACGTCATCAGTACGCAGCGGCAGCCGCGCGAAACTCGGAACAACAACAAAACACAGCGTGGAGGAGACGACTGCGAGCGAGACATTTACAAACCAACTTATCGATCCAGCGTGTGGAAACATTTTGGCTTTTGCAAACACGGAGGTGTTCTAAATAAGTCGGTCGCTGTTTGTAGAATATGTAGAAGCCAAATAAAAAACCACGGAAACGAGACGAATCTTTTCGGCCATCTACTAAGGCGCCGTGGGATTAAACAACGCCGACAGTCAGGCACCTCTAGCTCTGCAGACACCTCAGGCCTCGCCAGCACCAAACTCAACATCACAGTAACAATTGCCAAGTTTATCTGTAAAGACATGCGACCCTACAATGTGGTTGAAAATCCAGGGTTCTGTGGATTGATCCAAACATTGTGTAATTATTGTGTAATGTTTACATGGAAAATGGCACTTGATTCAAATAAAAGGTTAATACATTTGCCATTAATTGTTGTTTACTTGTTTATAATATCCATAATAAATTTAAACCTGATTTCCTTACAAGAAACAACAGGGATCTCAGAAACTTTGCCTGCACTGTCCAGTAAAGTTACTGAATCGATTTCAAGTCACTGAATCGAATTGTTCTAAATTAACCCAGATCGTCCATGAATCGAATCGGCAACCATGAATCGTGATTCAAATCGAATCGTTGTTAAAACGAATCGTTACACCCCTAATAAACACGCAGACATGGAGAGGTTTAATAGTATAATGTTTAGTAATAAAAAATAATATAAAATAAAAAGCAGTGTTTTACCACTACATGCATCTCACAGAACACATAGACTAATTTGTGGCGGTGAGCCACAGATTCAACACCGGCTGCCACACATTGCGTTTGGTGTATTTATTTATTTTTTAACACTATTTAAATCACGCAGCGTATTCAGCTGCATTTCCTTTCCCTTTCATAAAAGGACTCAGCAGGGACACAAGGTCACACCACAAAACTGAGGGGAACTTTGACTGAACTGCAAAGCCAGTGTTTCCCCAACCATTATAACATAACCCCCCCACAAACTGAAAAAGTGCAATAAAAAAAGCGAAAGATTTTTTTAAAAGTATACACATATATATTTTTTGGTTATTTTTCCCCACACGGCAGTTCCACACCGCAGCAGCCCACGTTCGGTATATATATATATAATATATATATATATATAATATATATATATATATATATATAATATATACACATATATATATATATACACACACACACACATATATACATATACATATACACACACATACATATACACACACACACATACATACATACGTATGTATGTATATACAATATCTGGTTGTGCATTAGGCGCGTCAATAACGAGACAAATTTTTACAACGAGACATTACCTGCACAAAAATAAGTAAATTAACTAATGGCCACGACCGCAGAGTTCTTTCTCGCTCTATCTCTCTCTCTCCCGCACCGTCGCGCTCTCTGCGCGTAGCAGTTTAAATGAACGACAACAATAAACAAATGCGTGCTGATCAAGAGTTTTGTGCAAGAAATTTAAGGTCGCGATTCTTGTCCCTAATATGGCAGGTTTCATTCAGTGATTGAAACTGAAGGTTTTACAGTACCGACATTGAACGCTCTGAGCGAGCTGTGCTGGTAAACACAGAACTTTTCATTGGCATGAAATGGCAAATAATCAAACTAGTGCATGAAGCTGTTGTAGCCACTAGTCCGTTTTATTCATGCAGTTTACAGTCAGTAGTCAGGTGCGCACCCACCCGCTAAGCAGACAGTTGCGCGACCGTTTTTTACATTCGAATATTAATTCACATTTGAATAGTCTTTTTCAACAACTATATATATATATATATATATATATATATATAGAATATTTGTTGACAGCCCTGATACACACATACATACACATAACAGACAGACAAATAACAGTAGGCCCGGATGGGTCCGAAGGAAATGATAGAGCTTAAGGCTGTGCAGCCAGGAACAGTTTCACATGCCAAGCCCAGGTGCTGATGGATACATTACAGGGGCCTCTGCCTTGCAGTGGAACTACTCATCTCATCGCCATACATGGCCTGAAAAACACGCATCATATTTCTTGTCTTTTTTTCTGAGGACAATTTTCCCCTCTCAGTCACCTAGAGCATTTCCAGAGAAAAACGCTACTTTTGTTGTGGTTTTCAGTCTCTGCTTACGATCACTAAGAACTCACCAGGTGCTGAGATAGCAGGGGCTTCCTGTGTTTCAGGAACTGGTCGAAAACCTTCACCTGATGCTGGACCCTGATTGGACCAAAGAAAGAAGTGTATATATTAGTGTCGGCCAGATAGCAGCAAATCCCACAGAAACAGCAATGCAGTTTGGGAATTACATACATTTGTGCTCATGGCCATCATTTTTGGCTACCAAAATAATCTGGCCATGTCAGTGACCTTTGGAGCTGTTGGACGCTATCTTAGGAAAAGAGATGAATCCACCTGCTCTTTCATCAACATTACCAAGACCTACTTTAACTGTGAGTCCAGATACAGTTCATGCAGTTTATATCAAAAACACTAACAATAATGAAGCCTAGCAGGCAGTTATCCTTGCCAGAATCCCCTGTTTGAAACTCACTTGTATCTGTGATGCATAGTAATGTAATGTTTTTACTGTTATGAAGGTCATTCACTGGCTATTTTTTTATAGGCATTGCGTTTACTGTTTTGGTGTTTACTATAGAATGCCGCTCTACCTTTCAACCCAAAAGGTTACCCAGTAACTAAATAAAACAAATGAAATCATTTATTTCAAAGTAAATTATATCCATTACTTAGTAGTGCATCTTAAAACTTCTGTACAATCACTAGTTTGTCGAACAATATTTGTATACATTATTTATTTGTATTGATTATACACTTTCATTCCTACCTGGTTAGGTTGAGGTCAAACAGTTCAGTTAGATATTTGGGTTTATCCAACAACGCGGTCAGAGCCCAAAACGCCTCCTCCTCCCCCAACTGCATCAGCAGCACTGCAGCTAGGTAGGACATCCCTGTGACACACGTGCGCGCCGGCAAGTACACACACACGCACACAGATCTTTAGAGCATTTAAGACAGAGGTTCAAACATGTTAAATCAAAACGCGTGTGAGTGTGTGTGATGTCAAATGTATTCAGGGTTTCAGGAATGTCCTATATGACCAATGTTTAGTGTCATAGACGGTGAACGGGTTATCCCATGGTGACAACCGATTAGTACATTTGGAACCTCAAAGTTTAGGGGACTTCCTGCAACTATAAATAAAACCCAGTACTAATAATTGTGCTGCTTCATCAGGTATACATCCAAATTTGAGTAATTATATTAATCCAAATATCCACATGTATCAAATAGTTAAAGAGGGTGGTAAATAAAATACATTACAAAAAAATAAAAGTCTAAAATGATATTTTGTTAAGTGTAATTATGTAAAAACTCCCTATTAATAGTACTCTGCTTCCACCAAGTGCTCACATTATGTATTGCAGGTATTTGGTTAAATTATCAGAGGTTTTTGAAATAACAACAACTAAAAACCATTAAACATTATTTAGGAATAATCCGTTCCATTACCTTGGCTGTAGCCAACCTGCGGGCTGTATTTGGCGTAAGCAATGAGGACCCTAAAGAGTTTAGCCTGGCCCTCAATGGCTTCTGGGCTGTCCCCCATCAGCGAGCGGTGGGTCGGGAAGGAACGTTCTGTGGAACACGTCAAATTTATACGACATATTTAGCCTTTTCCCTTTGACATACAAATACTAAAAGGCAACATTTAATCATTTTCACAACTGAAAACCAGCCAAAGTATCCACAACTTTAAGAAAATTGAGGCAATGTTTGCCGACAAAAAATAGTCAATGTCCTGATAATGAAAATAAAAAGTAGGAAAACATAAAACACTGAGCCTACAGCTTTATTCCCCCGTTTGAGCTCACGTAGGTCTAGGGCGATCTGCCTGAAGACTGTGATGTCGTCCGCAGAGTATCTGGGCACGGGGGCGCCAGACCCCTCCCCGAGGTTCAAACCCAGATGGTTTTGGGTCTCGCTCAGCGTGGCGATTGCCGACAGGATGCCGTACTCACTCACTCCCAAGTCCACCAATGGCACTCGCACCTCAAGCAGACACTTCTGTTGAAGGATCAAAGCATTCTGTTACCTATCAGTAACATCTCTGTGAATGAATTGCCTGTTTCAGAAAGCTGGTTGAACAATGAGACCCTGAACTCTGAGCTGCCAAACTCTGATATAGTACAGCTATTTGTTCATTTAACTCAGTCTATTCACTTGCAGTTGGGCTAATGTGTGGAGAATAAAAAGAGCCATATCAATGGATCTCCGATTCCACAATCTATTGAGACAGGTGCATAGAAGGCAAGCCTCCATTTGAATGAGGAGCATATGACTATATGGCACACTTTGAAAAATAAATCTGAGTCAGTGAGGGGGAAAAGATCCAATTAATTATTACAATTTTTTAATCGATGGTGAGATGCTGGAGACGGCAGCATGAAGAACTGACTCGTTGCAAAAAGACGACAAAAGCTCTCAGAGACAAGAAAAGCAGATGGCCTGTACTTGAAAACATCCTTGAAGACTGGGTGATACCCAGAGAGCAGACGGCCGAGGCCTAATGCAAATCACTACCGAAAAAAAAAATTGAAGATTTTAGAGGTGGACCATATTGGTGTTTCTGATTTATGAAACGAAAAGCCCTGTCCGTTGACAACTATGTGTCAGCAACTCCCTCCCGACTTCAAGGAAAAAATTACAAACTTCAAAGAATTCCATTGGACCAGACAACATCATAAATATGGATGAAGTACCTTTGATGTTTGACCTGCCTCTCACTAGGACTGTTGGCAAAAAAAGTGAATCGTCCGTCTCGCTGAAAACAACTGGCCACAGCATCCAGATTAAAGCCATGGTGATTTTTAAGCGGATGACAATGCCAAAAGGAATCGCCGTGAAAGTCAACAAGAAAGGGTCGGTGATAGAAAGCCTAGAAACCGATGGATTGCCTACTCCAGGTAGGGAATGTGTCCTTACCCCAAGTGAAGGAGTTCAAGTACCTCAGGGTCTTGTTCACGAGTGAGGGGAAGATGGAGTGTGAGTTTGGCCGGAGAATCGGAGCAGCGGGGGCGGTATTGCACTCGCTTTACCGCACCGTTGTGACGAAAAGAGAGCTGAGCCGGAAGGCAAAGATCTCGATCTACCCTCACCTATGGTCATGAAGGATGGGTCATGACCGAAAGAACTAGGTCACGGGTACAAGCGGCCGAAATGGGTTTCCTCAGGAGAGTGGCTGGCGTCACCCTTAGGGATAGGGTGAGAAGCTCAGCCATTCGCGAGGAGCTCGGAGTAGAGCCGCTGCTCCTTTGCGTCGAAAGGAGCCAGTTTAGGTGGTTTGGGCATCTGGTGAGGATGCCCCCTGGGCGCCTCCTTAGGGAGGTGTTCCAGGCACGGCCAGCTGGGAAGAGGCCCCGGGGAAGACCCAGGACTAGGTGGAGAGATTATATCTCTGCACTGGCCTGGGAACGCCTTGGGATCCCCCAGTCAGAGCTGGTAGATGTGGCCCGGGAAAGGGAAGTTTGGGGTCCTCTGCTGGAGCTGTTGCCCCCGCGACCCGACCCTGGATAAGCGGTTGAAAATGGATGGATGGAAAATAATTCTATAGTATACAATTAGATATTTAGCTAAATAGAGACGCAATCATTAAATCCTGATCTCATCCAGTAATAACGTGCTTGGTGATTAAACTGTGGATTATAAATGTGAGACATTTTTTGGATCGTGACTTTGACAAATGTTATAGAGTCACAGTCACTGAAATGGTGTTTACGTCTTAATACTTAATAATTTTACAAGCTACACCACAACCCTGCTCACTCAGAATAATGTACATGTAATCTCTTTGCCAGGTGAGGTGACTGGAGAAAGTGTGTGACCACAGTGACTCCCCTGCTCTGGTGAGCTGTGACACTCGCATCGGATAGCGTTTGTCTGTGTACAGTATTCTGTCTGTCACTATGGAACCTTCCTCAGAAACACTGAATTCATGTTTCCTCTGTGATGTGTACTCAGTAGTAGAATATTACTGTTCTGCATTTCTTCAACGCTAGTTGAGGTTATTCTACAGTTGATAACGATTTCATCATCTGCTCCACAGCTGACCACTAGTATCAGTACTTCCTTCCTTTGCGCTGGTTTCCATGCAGAATGTGCTAATGAAATATTAAGCAAAATTTGATTTGGGGTTTCAATTGTCTTATATCTTTTACAATAGAAAACACTGTAACAACAAACAATCACACTGGTTTGACCGTTTATGTAAATGAAAAAATAGAAGCACAAAGTAACAAGAGCTATGAAGTGAAATCGAATGTGAAAGACATTGTCATACCAATAATGTACCTTCCATTCGCCACATTCAACATCAATCTCATAACGACAACAAGACCTCCTCTCTAGTGCACGACCCGTACCTGGTAGCTGAAGTCACTAGTGTCTCTCAGACTGTCGATGCCGAGCAGACACTTCCACACTCTGCCACGCAGACTCTGAGGAATACCCATCCGGATGAACCGCTCGATCTGAAAAACACGGAAAAAGTGCAGAGAAAAAAGGTTGTCTGATGAATAGGTGGTTAAACTACTACAAAACGAAGGTAGATTTCACGTTTTGATTAGCATCTTGCAGGTCATAGGCGTCTCACCTGGCTCTTGCAGATGAAGCTGCCTCCGTTCCAGTAGCTGAGCAGCTCACACAGCTCCTTCACCCTCACCGAGCTCAGCTGGGTGAAGCTGATGGAGACAACACCACACGGTGAGCTGTGATCCAGTACTGATTATAGTGTTCATGGACGGGACTTTAATCTAGCTTTTCATCATGTTAAAAAGCAGAAATCCGAAAGCGTGGTGTGGTCTAGTATGCATTCTAATGATATCACTATATAACTAGATGTATTTAGATTTTTTATACTCTGTGTATGAGCCGCTTACATTTAACTTAATGTAAAATTAAACTTGGAGCAATAGATTTGGTGAGATAATGCCACTTTGCCTTATTGCTCCCACGTAATGTGTGATTAAGTACGTTAAGTTCTGTCAAATAGTGCCAGCTAACTTCTCGAGACATCGCTCGAGACACTCTTCACAAGAGTAGAGTTTTAATCAAGTTCCTGGCGTCCTGTTACGGAAATATGTAACGTAATTAACTTCAACAACTGAATGCCAAGGAATGAAATGCAATTTTAGAAAGTGCGGGTGTCAATTCGACGGAACTATTAAGCCGGCTAACAGCTAACTGAAATTAGCAAACGTTAGCTTCGTTTAACGAGCCATCGTCTCCAGCAGCTTAACTTAACGTTAACAGTTCCCTGCCCCGCACCTGTAATCATGACATCGGTGATGGAGCTTTTGGTCCTTTCGTTTAGTCAGAGCAAAGCCGAATTCATCAAAACGTAAATTCTCACTGCGCCTCCTTGTTGTTGAGCTTCTCCTGCCGGCGCTACTGCTGGTTTTCCGCCTCATAGTTTTAAAAGACATTTGTTTTTAGCGCTACTTCGAGCGAGGAAACAGCCTGTTGGGAAGTCGGGACTTTCCTGTCAGACTCAACGGTCACATTGGACACGCCTCCTTTCTGCGCGTCACAACCAACCGAAAATAGGCGGGATGAAAACGGGACATTTCAAACAAAGATAGGATGACAGCGGCGGCGTCTTTAGACTGAGAAAGAGAATAACGGGTGACGAGAGCTAACTCACACATTAGTCAAACACTGATAGAAAGTGGCTGCATTTCAGACTCTCTAATGTTTCCCAGATATCTTTCGTAATAACAGACTTGTTTTGAATGCAGATCATGCCCCCCAATACATACTTCTATAATAACCCCACTATCTGTCTTTCTCGGACATTTTGAAATTAGTTTTTGCTACATCATAAATAAACACATTCTCTACGGTCGTGCAGTCTTGTCATGACTTAAGCAGCTTTATGTTGTCACCCGATGACAAACTTCACACTCATCGCCGCCCTCTGTAATAATATGTGTAGGAGGGAACACTTGTGGTGTCCATCTACAGTTTAAAGACATACCCTCAAAGCTTCGAATCTTCACATCACATCCCTTCTCTATTTGATTTTTTATATTCACACTTTCAGATAATAAAAAAGTGCTCTCAAATGTTTTGCTCTTGTTAAGAAAAAAGAGAACATGAGTCTACCTGAATAAATCAAATGTTATCACAGCTATGCACAGTCGACAAACAAGGAACAAACGATCATCCGTTCTGGTTTAGTAAACAATTACTTTAATATAATCAATTTTTTTTTCAACTGTTAATTTACTTCATAGATTTATTGTGCTGTATGGTGAGCCAAAAAAAGCAGACAATCCTACTGTAAATAATTAAAAAATCACCACACTCATCATTTAATATGTTCTTTATTATGGCACTAAAAAGTGAAAAGCCTACATGATATATAGAATGCTTTTGGCTGGATTGATATTTATGTCTAGTTACCATAGTAATGAAGGTAAAGCATCCATTTTCGGCAAATGACCACTGTACTGAACAGCAGTAGATTACAGGTTACTCATCTAAAGTATGCTTTTTATTAGGGATTTGTGAAGTCAAACAATAACCGTTGTAGAAGATCTTTACTCCTCAAGCACTTGGTCACTTCTACCCGTCTCCACTTTGTATATGGTCTGGTAGCCATCGTCCCAGGCGTACAGTTGTTTGTCTCCGGGGTGGTAGTGGATGCTGCTGTGGCTTGTGTAGCGCTTCGGGAAGAACATCACGGGACTCTCGTCGCTGCAGATGGGTGGTGCAGGAAGTGGAAAAATATGTAGAATCAACTCAAGACCATCGCTTCAGTTGCAAATGTGCTCGAGTGAATCTGGTTAAAAGTGACGCTGTGATTTTTCCTCTGAATGCAAATAGTCGTGAATATTTGTGGTTGTACTGTTGTTTCCTCCTCTGTATAATCAAACCTGTGGATGGTGTCATGGATGTCGTAGAGACACTGAACAGTGGAGCGACCTCCATAGCGCGTGTTGTAGACCACATAGAGGGTCCCACATATTAGGAAGGCTCCTTCGGCATCTTGGCTTCTACACTGAGTATCCCAAGTGTACTCTACTGCCAGACTCGCTGAGGGGAGAAACAAACAAAGTGTCAATATATCCCAGCTTACCTATGTATACATGAATGCGTATGCTGGTGTACCTTTATCCAGTTTGGTGATGACCAAGTTCCCCCCATACTCAGGGTCGGCATGGATGACCCAGAGGCCCAGCTCGTCCACAGCCAGGTTCAGGTAGGTGTTGGGGTTCAGACTGTAGACTGGTAGACGACCCGCTCCTGGTAGCAGCGTACTGTCTACTAAGGTACCATTCAACAAGTCTACCTTTATTTTGGGTGGGCGGATTGAAATAGATAGATTGAGAAATGCTGCCAATATAGTTTTGAGTTTTCTTTATTTTATGTCCGACACGTTTCTAACCACTGAATTGGATGTGTTAATAAAGTCTGGGTAAGCTAGATGCTAGAAGTTTTTCCTCACACCTGCCACAAAAAGGGCGACTGTGGGTGAGTGGGGAGCACGGTCGTCCTCCAATCAGAGGGTTGTGGGTTCGATCCCAGGCCCGGCTAACCTGCATGTTGTTGTGTCCTTGGGCAAGACACTTAACCCAACATTGCTCCTGTAGCTGCGACTACAGTGTGTGAATAGTAGTTACTGATGGCAGGTGTCACTGTGTATGGTTCTCCTGTCATCAGTGTATGAATGGGTGAATGATGTCATGTAGTGTTAAAGCGCTTTGAGTGGTCAGAAGACTAGAAAAGCGCTATACAAGTACAGTCCATTTACAAAAAGATTTTTTGAAAACAAAAAGATGGCTACAGTCTTTTTTCGAAATTCTGTTTATCTAAGAAAATATTCTGCTTAAATCCACCGTTGTTTGTCTCCCAAAATTGCAATTCAAATGACACTGCCCCAAGTAAACAAACTGATTTATTAACTGGTTTATTGCCTAAGCTAACATTTACTCAACCTCATGTAAGCGCTACAGACAAAGGCAAACAAAGTATACCCTTTGGTAACTACATTTTTTAAAAACACATTTTCAGATTCAATCCTGTTTTAGTAGTAAATACTGTAGTTTGGCTTTGGGGATATGGGTCTATTACACATACTTTCCACAGAACCATTTATTTTGACCCACTTTTCCTGAGTGAACAATCTGCTCCAAAACATGAAAAGAAGTAATCGCTTTTCACTTGGAACAAAAATGTTTTTTTTGGCATTGTTTGCTCACTGACCTCAGCTAACAGGAACATCCAAAGAAAAGAAAAAACTCCAAAGACTAAGTGCCTCTAAAATGTTTTGAAGTCAGTCTCCAGCCAAAAGCAATGCAAATCAACAATGCAAGGCAATGCCGTGAAACACACACACACAGTGCGGTATTAGAATTTGATTCAACACACCTTCAGGATCTGGTTGGGCGTGTCTGCCTTGTGGTAGTAGAGGAATCCGTTGTAGACCACTTGACCTGTCCCTTGCCAATAGGAAGGCAGCTCCACCACCTTCACTGGTGGTGTGGTGGTCCTCTCTGTGAAACTGTGCACAGAGGCATACTCCAGCAGAGTGTTGTTACGAATTCCACTGAGCATATAGACCTGAAAGAGAACAAGAAGAAGTGGGTGGAAATGTTTATTGTCGGTCTGACGTCCTATTCTTGGATTACAATCGTGGTATTTAAGCAATCGGCAGTTTTGCTTTTTTTAGCACCCATCTATCAGTTCTATTGTGATGGATTGAAAGTCCAACCTAATGCAAAGAGAAACATAGAAGATTTAGTATTTAGTATTTCATGAAGTTAAGGGAAAACGTTGGGATTTGGATAGGAATAAAGACTAAGTTTATGTAACTTCACATAAACGTTGACCTTTGGTTTCATAGGGGAACACGAACAGCGAGGGCATGACCCACCCTACATTGACTCTGCTTTGCTAGTAATTGTTCCCTTTTTGGTTGGACTGGTTAGGTTCAGGCATAAATAGATTGGTTCCTGATAAATGTCATTGGGTATATTAGCCCCTAAAATGAGTCCCCAAAGTACAATTCCTTTCCTTTATCTGTCCACCAGCAGCTTGATGCAGAGAAGAAGATAAGCACAACCTTCTGGCCAGAATGAGAATCAGCCATCTCTCTACTGGTTAACAGCTCATTTTTACTCATGACTCACATCATTGTTAATAAAACCACAAACCTTAGTGGATCCTTTGGTGGGGTCCTTGAACCAGGTACCGTAGGTGTCTCCTGCCTTCTTCACAATCTTGAGAGACTTGATTTGACTCAGCACCATTCTGCAGTCTGGAAATATTGAAATGAAGAGAATAAGCGGTATAGTGCAGTTATTTTTCTTTTACTCTTTCCTTTGTAGTCTTGCAATACAAAAGCATTGTCCATTAAACAGCTGTATGGCGTAATAGTTATCTGTATACGGCCCACTTCATACCATTCTCCACTTGGATCGTGGCTTTTCTTTGCAGCTGGTCCACCTCAGCGGCCTTTATCTGCTGCTCCAGCAGCGCCTCTTCAATCTCAATGTCGGTCTGGGCGGGAATGTTGTTTTCAAGATACTCCAACTCCCTCTCCACCCGGTCGACTCGCACGGACACGCTGTCCATCTGGCTCCGCACCTCTGATCTACGCAGCAAATTAAGAAAAAATTGATCATCATAGTTCTCACGCACCGTAAAGCTGAATCTGGAAAGTCATATGAAAATAAATTATAGTAATCTTTGCTCAAGCTGTCAGTATAAATTGAAAGTAGTACGTGAGACAGATGAGCCTTTTTAGCATTCTGCAAAAGTCTACAACGCCCCAAAGAAAAACAACCAATCAGGGCAGAGGAGATTACTAATGCAGCTGTCAATCAATGCTTCACTCAAAAATTAGATTACTGCATTGCCTGTCTCGCAAATCGGAAATGTTTTGCAACATGGCGACAGGTTGAGAAAATATGACAGCAAGTAATTTTACTAAAGTCATCAACTGCAGTCATTGAGTAACATGACGATGTGTTGTTTTTCCTACCTCAGGACACTGAGAGTGGACAGATAACCCCTGATTTCAGACGAGAGGTCATAGGTCTTCTGTGTGGCACTCACTGTCTTTTGCTCACATTGGTTCAGACGCTCCTATTATTGACACAGAGAAAAAGAATACATTGTCTTTTGAGAGAAAAGAAAAGGAATTTATTCACGGGTAACGAAATATACAATTCATAACAAGTGGATAATTCCTTGTATTCCTTGTTTCAGCCTGGAAACCAAAGAGAGCCTTTGTCATTTAAACAATACCAAAGTGCAAAAATGTGGTATCTCAGCAGTGTTATTATGGCAAGGACATGACTTGCAAAAGGCGTTGCCATTGTTTTGCGCAGTATCGTCACACTTGGAAAGAGAGTATTTCGTTTTTTACCAATCTGTAAATACACAAAATTCCACTAAATCCTACACACTGTGCCTTACACACAGTACACTGAAAGTGTTACTTCACCCCCAAATCTGAATCATGGACTGTAAATGAGAAGTGGACGTGGTCATCCTGACGTTACCCATTGTTTTTTTGGACTGCCGTGCTGACGCTTCGAGTTTGGCAATCATGGCTATCGTATTAGTTCTTCTGCACTCAATGATCTGAAGTGACCATGTTTGGAATGCTTAGAAGTAAAGTCATTTTCTCATAGATTTCCATAAAATAGGACTTTTCTTTTTGCAGTCGCCCCTGCTGGTCAGTAGAGAGAAATCAAGTTTAAGACACTTCCGAATATGTATGTTGATAATAATTTTGATATTATCCAAAAATGTGAGCAAGGGGCTAAGAGATTAAACATTCAGTATTTCGACAGATCTGACCGACACATACAGTATATTCACTAGAGATCTGTGACCGGATATCCCGTAACTGGAGCACATTGTAAAAATGAAAGGATGGTGAAACATTTGGCATCCAGATGATGCGAGCCTCCAGTAACTCATCATTCATTATTGTTCATTAAAAATGATGGATCCATTCAAGCAAAAAATGTATCCACCTGTACGATGCGGCCCGGGACCCTTACCTCCATCTGAGACAGTCTCCTGTCCAGGTACTGGATTATAAAGGCATCCTGGGAGGAGCCCTGGCTCTGGACTGAATCCACAGTCACACAGAGACACAGGAGAAGGACAAGAAGCAGTCTGCCTGACATCACAAGCCCTTTTGTCCTCAAGTCACAAGCTCAAACAGCAGCTGAATGCTTTCCCTGCCTCTCGACGGAGAGAGCGTTTCCTGTATTTTCTTAAAGCACTCGGTAGAAAACGACCAAAAGATCAATTCATACAGATCCATCCACAGTTTGAAACAGTATTTGGCATCTTGAAAGAATCCCCGGATTGTCTTAATGGCCGCAGAGTTTGCATTTGAGAGTTGCAGCTTTCTGTCCTGCTTCTTTAGGTGGGTTTGGATCCAAGTGAACCTCACCCTTACATGTTCCCTCCCAGCCTCTCTCTCTCCCTCCCTCTCAGCTTCTCTAACTGTCTCACAACCAACCCTTTTCCCTTCTCTGGAGTTTGTTTGAGGTCTGAGGGAAGGAGACATAAAAGAAGCGGGGGGAGAGAGAGAGAAAAAGAGAAAGAGGGAGGCAGTGGGGAAAAACGTTCAGACCACACTGTCCAAACCTGTAGTTTCCCTTTGTAATAATCTCCAGATGGCCTTTTGACTCGTCCCCCATTCCGCACATGCTAGCTAGAACTAGTTCACAGTTGTAAAGTTTCACAACACTAATGTAAAGCAAAACAGAAAACTTAATTTGGTGTTCCGTCCTAAAGACAGAAAGGGTGTTTCTAGCCGGCTGGGTTACAGGCTAACCGAACATGATGGCACATTGCCACAGCGCAAATATTACATGGCCGCCTTGTTATGTATGTAAGAGATGTGCCATTATTTAATGTCACCAGAAGCTCCCAAAGTATTTTAGTATTTTATAGCTTTTTTGGACTGAGGAGACTGAAGTCAGAAAAGAAGAAATGAGCAGATGGCTGACACAGATTCCAAAAAGTTCCTGCTGTTATGAGCTGAAAAAAAGTTTTCCCTTTTCTTGTCCCTTTCTTTTTTGTTGTAAGGATTGTTCCCGTTAGGTTGCTGTTTGTTGTCCGTCTGCTGCTTCTTCTATTTTTTGGTGCCACCTGGGTCGGTTTCCTGTTCGGTTCTGACAGAAAACGTCTACTTGTCAGCTTTCCAACTGTAAACATGACAAGGTGAAACGGAGGATAACACGCTAACGCGCTAACAAAGAAAACATTCCTCTCCTTTAATACCTTCTGTTGAGGGTTTTTTCTTTTGTTGCCAGGCTGCTGCCCGTTACTGGTTTCTACCAGGAGAGGACGCCACATTACAGCGATAGTAAGTCCCAATATCAAAGGTTTTTTTTAAGAGCAGGCCTTCCTTTGACGTTCGCATGGGCACCCGTGACCATTTCTTCAAAGACGGTCAAAAATATGGAACTTGTGCAAATTGTCTTTAAGTAAGTAACAGCAATTAATACATCAAGTGCTCTGATGACAAAAAGAGATGATAAAAAAAACGATGCATTAGTAACAAAACGTTTTTCAAAATATGAAAAAGTAATTATTGTTCAGAATGAATGCTGTCATAGTTGAACACAACTGACGGCCGACTCCACTAAATCATTCTCCTTTCTCTTTGCAGAGTTTGACAACTTCCAAAATCATTTCCTATTCAGTTCAGTATCGTCAACATGTTAACTAGTAAATTTCACTATATTCCTCCAGCCGGTCACTTACTTCACATTTTGTGTTTCATGCTCTTATTAATGGGTTCATATATGTATATATATTTTTTTTCTCATATTTTTCTCTTACCACAAATCTGAATGTTGGATAAAGCCAAGTTCAATAATCTCGCTTCATTTTGTTATGAAGTTGATATTAATATTAGAGTCAATGGGAACTACAGATCTCTTTTTATCCCTCCCATATGTTATATCCCATATGTCAACAGCCATGAAGAAATACATTTTGCATTGAGTAATATATGAATCTACCCAATTTTGAAAGCCTTCAGAACATACAGATGAACGAAAATAGAAGGTTTAGTGGTCCACTAAAAAAAGTCCACTCGACTACCACCAAGACATCGCAAGAATCGCGCTAGTCGTTTTAGCTTTAGCGAGTGTAACTTCCGAATCGCTTCACATGCTAACGTTGAGCTAACCCAGTTAGTCCTCCGGTTACACTGTTAACTCAGTGATCAGAATTACGTCCACAGCAACACTACATGTGTATTAATATTGTCAAATATGTAATCGATTTTCTTAATACAATGTATGTTTTCTTTAATTCAAAGCCAATGAAGAATTTTGCATGCATCATGAAGACTTTTATGTAAAAAGATGAATACGCTGTCATAGAAAGGAGCTTCAATAGAATTGCGTTGCTAGGCAACCGCATGTGTGTTTACTTCCTGTTAGCTTATTCATTGGCATACATTGTTATGTATGTAATGCATGATTTATTGTTGACATGAATTATGTTTTTTAGCTTTTTGCTTCTACACAAGTAAAGGACCTGAATGCTTTCTCAATATATATTTCATGTATTTATTAATTAGTAAAACAAAATAGAAATAGAAACTCAGACCATGCGTACAACCTTTCAGTCAACATGCCACTTTTCAATGATCTCAAATTACTGATGTGATCAGTAGTTCAGGTCACTGAGCATAATCTTTGTGGAGTCATTTGGTGCTTGATTATTGCTGATGTTTCAGTCTCCTTGATAAAAACTGTATTCTGTGAAGATGACCCAGTGGTTGTATTGGAAACTGTCGCAATGCATGCACAATATTGTCAACCTATACAAACAAACATTACGCAACCCCATTTATATGGCGTGAAACACAGTCGTCTGTTAAATTCACTTCAGTATTTCAACACAGTGCATGACATTTTAAAGGGAGTTGGCCAGTTTAAGGTCAAACTTGTTCTGCAGTACATTCAGGATCAACTGGCTGGTAGAATGCATGCTTTTGACTATGGTTTCAAACAGCAGCAAAATCGTCCACCAAGAGTAAAGTTGTTCAGTGCAAGTCTCTGATATTTTGCGATTTACTGCAGACAGGTGATAAACACGGGCAACTTCTACATCTTTTTGCCAGTTCAGTCAGAAGGCATGACCTTACAACAATTAATCAAAGATCATCGGCTTTTTAAGCATGTATTTTCTGCAATCAATCTCTTGCCAAAGCATTACTTCATTATACACTACCCTCATAATAGAAACATCGACCCAGTTCTGCACATGGTGGTGCATGAAGCCAAACATAAATTCTTTAAGAATCAGTTAAAAAGCTTTAAAAATGTTACACTGAAATTAGCCAAAAAGCATAAAAGTTGTATGGGGATGTATCAGGAGTCTTTAAGCAAGCAAATATTATCTTTAGGTCCAGGAAAGATGGTGACACTTCATAAGCTCAAAGAAGGTTCAGAGATGGCCAAACTGTATCGTCTACCAGTGAATTTCTGCCACATGGAAAAACATCACGGTACAGAACTCCGCCGTAATTTTATTATCTTTACTGAAGGAGCATGTGAGGTGCCTGTGTTTTTGTAAGGTAAGGACATATTGGTGTTAAAGATTACAGAGTTGTTTTCTGGACATTTGTGAATATTTCTTTGTGCATTTGCAAACTATTGAGACTGATCTGACCCCATAGTTGCACAGCTATAACCGGTTTATTATTGACAAACATTAGAGTAATGGTGCCAGGGTTGATCTTGAAATGTATCCAAATCATTATTGCATTTTGGTTGTTCGATGAACAGGTTAGTTGAGGGGATTAGTATGTCGGTGAAGATAACTGTGGCAACATTTTTGAATGAAATAACTTAGGAGAGAGAAATGTGGGGCTCGTAAATGTTGAAAAAAAAATAATAACGGCCCGCTAGAAAGCGTTTGTTTTCAGCGAGTCGATGAACGTGCAAAGGTAAAGTAATTTAGGGATTTTGTCTTGTGTCAGTAGACCCTACTGCTCATAAGCACCACTTTGTAAACTTCTTGTTGTGTGCTACACACACACACATACACGTGGGTAAGCACACGCTCTATCTACACATAGACACAATGCGATGTAACCTCATGGAATATTCATAAAGCTTGTGGAAGAGACCTATAAAATATCCATAGTCTCGGCAAGACATCCGACTGGGCTCACTTTCAGGACTGACGGGAGCAATCCATGAAGCTTTGTGTATGTGTACTGGATTTTATGTTAGTCTATGCTATGTCTATGTGTTTAACTTTTAGCTCATATCTGGTGTTTTCCTCCATGTACTGGCAGTGCGTGAAAACACGGCCATGGTTGAATTTCAGTTTTGGATATGTTTGTGGATGTTTATGCAAATGTAAGGTTTTAAGTGTGTGTGTGTGCGATTGAATGTGTGTGTGATCAAATGAGCAATGTCAACTTCTCAACACAATTATATGGCATCATCATTAACTTTTCCAGCCAGTCTATGTTTTTGTAATATGACATGGTTTTAATGCACATCGATGCAAACAGCCACCAACTGGAGACAGTTGATTCTGTTGCGGTGAGAACAGGAAGTGAAAACATGGACACATTTCATCAACTATGGTAAACAAAAAGGCTTCAGCCAGCAATCTCTTATCTTAGCTTAGCATATACCAGGATAACTACTGGAAACAAGGGGAAACAGACAGCATGAAGATAAAACAATTAGCCTTCTAGAGCCAAGTAATAAAAACTCATGTATCTCATGTGTTCATTTTCAGGCAAACATCTGGGTGTAAAAGTAAATGCTTGTAGTTCGAAGTGGCGTTATATAAGGGTGGTGCATGGAGTAGAAAGGGTACTCGGTACCGCAAGGTTGGCGGAACCCTGGCTGGTACATGTCCCATGTCGAAGTGTCCCTGAGCAAGACACCTAACCCATAACTTACGGCTGCACACTAGTCCCACTGTGTGGGATGGGTTTAAAAAAATGTGAAAACCATGGGTCACTCGCTTGTCAACTAAATGACAGGTAATGTGAGGACATGGATTCCCAAAGTGGGGTGTGTGGGAGGAAACATGCAATGGTGGTCTAATGGGGTAATTCATACAGGGCTCTCAAGTGTCACGCATTGAGCGAGACAGTCACGCATTTCGGTCTCTCGTTACGCACTCTCGCACTGAGAGCCCTGTTCATATTAAATATAATTTGTAAAAAACAATAGGGTTTTACACAAAAGGGATAAAACTACCCATTAAAATGAAAGATGTACAATTTAATAAATAAATATACTTCACCTCCTCCTTTTACATACACTCCAGCTAACGTTAGCCTAGTTTGTGCAGCTAAGAGCTAACTTTTTCAGAAACATTTATAAAACATGCTGAACCAGCTGAAATTGGGAAACTGTCAGGTGGAAATCTGAAGCAAGAGGGGAGGAATTTGAGGCGATAGAACGTTAGTGAGTTAATACTTACGTCTC